GGGAGTTGTTCCACTGTGACCACGAAAAAGTTGTCTAAAGTTCAGGGGAGTTAATTAACAGATCTTGGGTAAAGGTGAGAGAAGGCACAGATACATCATAAAGTACAGAAAGCTAATTCAGAATGCAATCAGTCTCATGCTCAGTAATCAAAACTATGTGAGGATGTTGGATCCTTACCATTTTAATAACGAACCAAATTTCTCTAATGGCGGCTTTATAGTCGGGCCTTGTGTCTTTGAGCATCCATGAGCACACTCCCTTAAGACAGAGGTCTTTAGATTCCCCCCTTCCTGAATTCCATTCTGTTGGGTTTTACTGCAATGTATCTCATGGCAGTTTCACAGCACTTTTGCAGCAGGACAAGTCATCAAGAGACAGACTGCTTTCAGGTGTAACCAGTTTGCTGCTTTCACATAAAGGATGCTGGAGGAGCTAGACCTAGGGTTGCCAACCTCCATGTGGCACCTGGAGATCCCCCACTATTACAGTTGATTCCCAGAAACGATCTTGGTGGTGGAAAGGGCCATCAAGTCACACCTGCTAGGGTTGCCACCCCCCAGGTCATCAAGTCACACCTGCTAGGGTTGCCACCCCCCCAGGTGGCACCTGGAAATCTTCTGCTATTACAGTTGGTCTCCAGATGACCTTGATCAGCTCCCCTGGAGAAAATAGCTGCTTTGGAGGGTCGGCTGTACGGTGTCATACCCTGCTGAGGTTCCTCTCATCTCCAAATCACACCCTTCCCAGGTTCAGCTCCCAAAATCTCTAGGTATTTCCCAACCCAGAGCTGGCAACCATAGGTAGACCCAAAAAGGAGAAGCTGGAAAATAGAGATATGATCTTGTACTTTCCACAGTCTCAGTTTTCTTCTAAGCATTTGGTAAATCAGTAGCCCCTCGTTAAGTAAAGAAAGTCTTTCTGGTATGTAGAAGGTCCAAGGTTCAGTCCTTGGCATTTCCAGTGAAAAGGATCAGGCAGTAGGTGATGTGAAAGACCTGTGCCCGAGACCCTGGAGAGCCGCTGCCGGCCTGAATAGACAAGACCGGCTTTGATGGACCAAGGTTCTGGTTCAGTAGAAGGCAGCGTCTTGTGTTGTGCAGTTCTCTGAGCCCTTTTCGCTCCAATTAGCCCGCTGAGAAACCTGGACACACTGACTGTGGAATCCTTGCATGTTTCTCACACAGGCCGGGGAGCACGCTGCCCAGTCCGATCCTCATCCCACACAAACAGATCATGCTCCTCAAATATAACTCACATTCTCCTTGCAGGGAAGGGGCCATCACTGAATGGTAGAACACATGCTTTCTATAAAGAGGAATCCAGGTTCAGTCCCTGGCAATGTTCCCTTTAAGCTGTGGAGTCTTGTGAGCAAAAATTCTACTTTGTGAGCTACTAGCATTAAAGTTGTGAATGAGTGATTTGGCTGCTGCATAAATCAGTTTGCTCTGGAGCCATCCTTCCTGAGCCAAGACAAAAATGTGTGAGCCAGAGGCTCAAAAACTGTGAGCTAGCTCACACTAACTCAGCTTAGAGGGAATACTGGTCCCTGGCATCTCTAGTTAAAAAATCACAGTTGGCAAGTGTGGATAAAGACTTTTTCCTGCTTGAGACCCTGGAGAATCACTGCCAGTCAAGTAGATGCCGATCAAGAGACGGGCCAGAGGTCTGATTTTGTACAGAGGGATGCTCCAAGGAATTGCTGCTGCTATCTGTAATGGCTTGGATCCGGTGGTAATTTCCACTGATGGCGGCGATTTCCATCAATGGAGTGGGACCTCCCCTCCCTTCCTGCTGCAGCCTATAATGCTCCTTCTGAGGAAAATTGGACCTGATGGAAGACTTTTGGGGTGGGAGATGGGGACCTGCCTGTCTGACCTTCCCCGCCTCATGATGTCATGCTTGGAACCAATCAGAAGTGATGTCAACGCTTCAGGGCAATGTTCCAGCATGTGCCCGAAACTCTATGGTTACCATAGAGTTTCAGGCAAATGCTGAAGTGTCATCCTGACCCAATGATGTCACGTCTGATTTGTGCTGGAAGTGATGTTGCAATGCACCTTCAAAGTGAGAGACCTAGGGGACACCGAGGAAAAACATGAGGAAGAGTCTTAGGTTTGTAGCGGGAGGGGGGGGAATTGGTGAAAATCTCCCCCTCCCCATTCCATTAGCAGAAATTGTCTGCTGGATCCTAGCCCACGGGGTCAAGTTTTGCTTTGTTTCTAAAGTAGCTCAGCTGCCTCTGACATATAAAAAATAGGCTCTTAGCAAATGTCAAGGGCCAGGACTCTCTTCCTGCCAAGTGCTTAAATACGAGGACAAAAGCACAATTTTGCACAGCACAAAGTTTGATGGATTTCAGAAACCTGAACCCAGTCTTTTGGAAAAACCCGGTGTCCTAAGTCAGAAGTTTCTGAGATTCAAATGACAAGGTTAGAGACAAGGAAACTGAACATTGCATATTGTGACACCAAATCCTAACATTCACACTCCTGTGCCCAGTGGGAAATTAATCTAAAATACAGAAGTTTTAAAATGTGGGTTTCTTGTTCCCTCCCTTACCTTTAGTTTCAAACATGTAATTCATGTTCTGTGTCCCAACATTAACATACAATATGAATGTCAGTTATACATACAAGCACACACACACATTTACACTATGTCTTGTAGTCTTGGTACAAACCTGGTGTAGAGTTCTTTACTAAAATGTTCTATGTAAGAACAAATGAACTTCAATATACATATATGGTTAGGCAGGGGTCATTTCATAGAAAAAGAGCTAGGGGAACTCATTAGCATAACTCATTAGCATATGCCACACCCCCTGGCATCAGGGGCTCGGCGGTGGACCTGCAAGGCCAGCGGGAGTGCGAGGAAGCCCCGCCAAGGCCCTCCCTGGCCCCAGGCAGGCAGGGGTGGGGAGAGGCGGGGAGGAAGCAACTTACCCTCCCTCTTCTCCTGCTTCCTCCTGGCTGAATGAGGGCTGGAAGTGGGGTGGCTGGAAGCAGGGGGCGGGGCTTCGTCATGTGCCCCGCCCCCTGCACCTCACCCGTTCCCCCCTGAAATGACCTCTGTGGTTAGGAATACCTTATTAGGTAATATGTATTACACATACAGAATGGCTGATTTTGCACAAGGAGCTGCACCGAAGCCGCGCGGCCGCATTTATCACTCGAAGCCGCATTTCCCACCCGCGCGGCCGCATTTCCCACCCGCGCGGCCACATTTCCCACTCGAAGCCGCGCGGCCGCATTTTGACCCGCGGCTTTGCCCAATTTTCCCCGCAGTTTTGTGATCCTGTTTTTTGAGGATTAGGAAACCACAGGGAAAATCGGGCGAAGCCGCGGGTCAAAATATGGCTGCGCGGCTTCGAGTGGGAAATTGACCAATGGAAACGATGCAAAGAGAGGCGCGACGTCGGTGCAGCTCCTTGTGCGAAATCAGCCAATGAGTCATTGGGCTTTTCCACATTATTGGGGGGTGTTCTGTTCTGCATGTGTTTTGCTCCCTCTAGTGGTCAAGACAATATGACATTGGGTTATGTCTGGCATATCTCCCTGCCGATTTGTATGCTGAACATAAACCAATGTAATATTGAATCCACCACCAGAGGGAGTAAAACACAAATGGAACAGATTTCCCCCCCCCCCGAAGAAATAGGAACTTATAAGGGAGGAAAAGGAGAATGTGGAAAAGCCTCTTCTTTGTCGCCTCCCACTTTATCATCATCATCATCTTCACAACAGTTTTTACCCCACCTGTTTGCCCTGTAGGGCCACTAAGGCAGCTAAATTCAGACACACAAACTGAACGCTCATCTTAAAAGCCATTAAAGCCAACAAAGAAATATGGCATTAAAGCACGTTAAAACCAGAGCTTAAAACAAGTACAAAAGATAAAATCAGCAGTTAACGATGTTTAAAGTGTTGCCGAAGGCTTTCACGGCCGGAGTTCATTAGCTGTTGTAGATTTTTCCGGGCTGTATGGCCGAGGTCTCGGCATTGTAGGATCTGACGTCAGGTACTGCAATGCCAAGACCATGACCATACAGCCCGGGAAATCTACAACTAATATTTAAAGTGTTTCATCTAGTTTTGACCTTGGTCTACCTTAAAGCCCCTTATCAGCTACCAAATGCTTAAGGACTGGATACTGAGCACGCCATCTTTAAAAGAGGGTTGCAAGCAATGTTCCCTCTGAGCTGGGGAGTCTTGTGAGGAAAAATTCTGCTTTGTGAGCGACTGGCATTAAAGCTGTGAGGGAGCGATTTGGCTGCTGCATGAATTAGTTTGCTCTGGAGCCATCCTTCCTGAGCGGAGACAAAAAATTGTGAGCTGGAGGCTAGAAAGCTGTGAGCTGGCTCACTCTCACTCAGCTTAGAGGGAACACTGGTTACAAGCCATGCTCCCCCCCCCAGCATTAACAGCTAACATCCCATTGATTAAAACAGATCTGAATCTCATCCATTAGGAAGAAGCATGTGTCTATATAAAGAAGACGAAATTTCGCTTGTCTTACTGAATTCCCCTCCCTTGCCCTGAAATGTCTACCAACAGTTTTGCTTGAACAGGGCCTTCCAGTGACACATGAGGCAAAACTTTGCAGGAATG